TATGCCAAGTTGTGAGTGTAAAATGAAGTTGGTGAGTAAAAGAAAAAGATATACACCTTAGCGCTCTCCTCTCCAGCCTTTTCAATTACACGCCTGTATCAAAAAGAGAGAGAGAGATGATAATTAGTTTCTGACTTGATTAAAAACACATTACAAAACGTTGAGAACAAAATAAACTTGGCCACACAGACCTTAGACCGGCTGTCATTTCGCTTCTTTCTTCTTCCCATTGTTTAAACTCAGCCGAAACCTTCAAAAGAATCAGAGCAAGTTTAGCAAATCAAAACCACACAACAACCACAGAGTTTCAAGGTTCTGTCTGAATCAATATACACAAACCACAAAACAGACAAGAGAAGTAGGTATATGATGCTACCTGATCCGATTTATCTTTAGGTTTAGATGGTTCAGATCTAACCTTTGCATCTCGAAACTTTGCATCTTTAGTGAGATTAGAAGATTGGCGACGATTAATCAATCCCCAAGAGGAGCCAAGTCGAGGCTTAGTGACGGAAAGCGCACGTAACAGAGCCAGACGCTTGGTTAAGCTTGACCTAGCCGCCGACGGGATCTATTCCATTTTGTGGGCTTTGATTTCTCATTGGTTTTGGGCTTTGATTTCTCATTCTTACCGCAATCTATTTTAGGCCTCTCCATTTCCGATTTAAAATTTATAAACAAAAAAAAACTAAAAAATATATATAAGTCCAATCCGGTAGAAAATTTAGAATTTTGACAATCCGAATTAACCGACAACCGAACTAAACCAAATCGAAAACAATTTCAGTTGTTTCCGGCATCTTTTCCCCAAACCAAATAACCAAACACAACCTAAAATCACAGGCCTAATACATATACCCGAATCACCCTGCCTATTATCTGTAATTTCCTTAAATTGTCTCTCAAATTGTTGTTGATGGTTTGGTGGGAAAAATATTTTTGCTATCATTTCCCAAAACGATTACCTCACTTTTCTAACGTATTACATTTTATTTTTACCTTCAC